TTTCATTTCCTATGTCCACTTTTTCAAATAATTCTACGTAGTATAATTGTTGTAGGATACTTTCTAGTAATTCGGAAAACCCATCTCTCGCCATTCTAGGTGGAGTTTGTTTGAAGACTTGAGTACGTTCCTAGAACACCTCTGCCCGTTGAAATTATCAGCGCAGCCAACACATCTGCCCGTTGAAATTATCAGGAACCACCCCATTTGGCGTCTATTGACATGCCTCCGTATTGCGCCATGCGTCCAACTCCCACGGTTTAGGAAAGGTGAGGCATCTAGATAGGCATCGGCCCAAACAGATGAGCTCCTACGGTTCAGTAGAGTCTGAGCACATAATGTGTTTCGTTTTATTAATCCATGACAACGTTGTGGGTGCCCACCATACTTCTCGTCAACGCCCGTTTCCCCTTCCTGAGCTTGCGGCTTGCCTCTGTCTTCAGGTGTCCCTTCAGGTGTTCTTCACAACAAGAAGCATGAATAAATCTTTTATCATACAATGAATGTGCAACACTGGAGTATCGCTGCTCTCACCGCTTCTGAATGAACCCTGCAAGGACTTCCGCCGCCCCTGCCCTCCCTCGCATTCGGATAGGTGTGATTTCAACAACGATCAACGATGGCGTGCGCCGGGACTAGGGCGAGACTTGATCGCTGGACCTCATGTGGAGACTGCCATTCGTCGCTACTCTACTATCGTACTCTACTTAATTAAACAACATATTTACATTAACTCTGTACATCCACATAAATATAAACAATGGAAACAATTCACTAAACAGCAGTGTTGTATGCAAATGAGACGCTGCCTCTGTCTACCCCAGCAGTGTTGTCACTTTTTTCTTCGCTGTTCGATGCAGGAAGAAATGAGGCGGCCTGAAAGGAGGTTGATTATAGCTCTAATGAAAAAGGAAAAAAAGGATTCGCAGACTTGCTGTCGTTTGAGGGCTTCGTGGGATTGAGTGCCAGGCTGTGCAACGGCGCCTCCTTGGATGGACAGCCGCAATTGTGACGATAAAGCCGATTTTAGGTTCTTCTGTAATCACCTTCCTAGGAGTGTACGTGATTCTGCTACACTACATTAGTTTCAGCCCATATCCCTACATAACACTCACCGCAAAATTGCCGACAAGTGAGTTTGAGTTCGCCTTTCTTGCTTCTATTCTTGATCTGTAGAGGAATTCGCCAAGAGCTGCTATCATCGATGCTATCATGCCACCCATCAGGATATAGAAGATTCCTGCCACTTTTGATAGGTTGAGCGAGGCTGAGGAACCATCCTTCAACATAAGTTGTAAGTCAAAGTTGTTAAAGAGTTTAAGGGCTCTATAGGATAATGTTGCAGACCACAGTGATGCCTTGATCACACTGCCCGCGATCGTACCACCACTTATTCTCCAACTTCTTCAGCTCTCCTCTCTCTTGTAAAGCGAGAATCGCAAGATTGATGTGATCCTTCCAATCGGAGCCAAAAGGTGTTGCCACCCCATAGCCGATGCTATTCAAATTCGCACCTTAAAAGTCTCACGAGAATGTCTGAAAGGTCTCAAAAGCGGACGTTCTACTTACCGACTTTCATTGTGTCACAAGGCTTCCGCGTATTCTCGTACTCATTAGCGGTGGCCTCAAGAAGAAACGCGTACCGCCCTTTATGACTACGAACTCTTTCGATACCCTCTGCGTAGCTGGAGAACAAACACTGACGGTACTTGGGATTCCATGTAGCGCCACATTCGTTGGTAGATTTGTACCGACGAGTACTGCAAGACGTGTTCTTGAGAACTTCCTTCCTGTCAGTCTCTATGTGAAATGAACTGAACGACGGTTTCACCTTGAAAAACGACGCTGTCGATCCTCCACCCTGAATACCGTATTTGATTTTTGTCTGTTTGGCAAGATCTTCAACACTTTCAATCGGCGCTTGCATTTTTTCGAGCGTCAGGAAAGCGGCCAGGTTTGCAGTATATGACGAGACGATGATCATCGTGAAGAACCACCAACGCGACGACGCCCGATCGTCCAGAATTGGACCTGAAAATCAGACCAAATCAATCGATTAGGTTGTCTAAATTCCATCGGTCACGATGGAAGTGCTCCTTCCAGGAAGGAGCTTCGTCAACCTCAGGAGCCTGACCTCAACTAACAAATAAATAAAGCTCCTCAAGCTTCATGGTCAACTGCTGTGATTGCAGAGGTTAAAAACACATTCTTATGTAGCGTAACTTCATAGATAGAGGAATAGAAATGGAACCGTGTATCTCATTTGGCGTGGGCCGCGCAGCCACAATAAGCTCGCAGACGCGGTATCTATGATGCGTCAGACTACGTACTTCTTGAGATGGGGGAGATGGGTGGGGCCAAGGATCAGCCTCAGCCCGTTTCTTCTGCTCCGAACGACCCTCTTCCGTCCCATCTACTGCCATGCTCGCCATGTTTTCGCCAACTGTTCCTGTGTAACTCTTTTCCCCAGTCTCCCAGACCGAAAAATTGATTTCCCGCAGAAAAAGCGCCGCGGTCCAGTGGGAGAGGGCATCGACACCTGTCAACTACTAATTGCAACTGTCGAAAATAGTAGTTGTATGATAGACAACCGAAATCTCAACAACTGAAAAAGTTTCTCTCGCGGTTCAAAAAGTTTCTGTCGAGGCCTGAAAGTACGACCCCCATCGGAGCTACATAGGCCCTTACTCCTCGCAACGACGAAGCGACAAAGAACTCTTTCTAGTGGGGCTCTTCTAACCTTAGGATGCTGTGCCATGCTGCCCTTTCAGGCGGAAAGTGAAGGAAGCACAACGACGTTTCCTTGTGCTATAAACAGTCCCTTCTGCACAGCGTGTCTACCTGGATGCCTGAAGCGACCAACGACTCTCAGACTTAGTCGGATTCGCCGGTTGATTCAGGCAACAACGACGATCGGCTCTCAAGTTTTATACATTGTTAGGTGGCTGAAGGAGCTGTTAGCTGGATATAGCACTTCGTTCCGATATAAAGCAAGTTTAAAATCTTCGTGTTGCTCTTTTGACGATGTGGCACGCACATGTTACTTATATTCAAAATTCGCAGGCTTATTTAACTCAAAGGTGTCCTTTTTACGGTCGCAGTCAACGTACAAGTAAACTGCTCTTTAATTCGCACCGAACAAATCTGGTGCAAATGTTACATGTCCAAGAGGTAGAAGGCTTGATACCGGCATGAAGAAGGAACGCGATCCGAGATTTGATCTCTCGACTGCGCTCTATAGTGCTTGTTCAACTTACCACTACAACATCTCTGAAACGGCCGAAATACAAGCTATATATTTTTTATCCCACCCTGAGACAAGTAAAAAAAAAGCTTACTGCGCAATATGTCTTCGTTTTTCTCTAGAACTTAATGAAGAGGTCTACGCCCAGAGGTTGTGTGGATTACGCAACTCAATATTTTTCTAACTGGAAAAATTGCTGCAACGAATTACAATCGTAGGCATTGCCAGAGAGTCGTACGAAAGGCTAACGGATCAATACTTCTTTGGGATTAGTCAGTCTTTCCTGCGAGTTTTTGTAGTCGTTGTCACTGAAAATTAGTCGTGGAAGCGTCAGCGGCGGCGTGATTTTTAATCACGGCGCGCTCTGCTCCCGCCACCCGTTGAACGATCGAACCCGCAACGACCATGGGGAACGAGCTAGCGCCGCGTCAAGACCCATGCCTGTTGACAGGCCCTAAGGCTCCCGACTTCGAGTATAACGACTGTGATTTAGGTCACTATCGACTTGCTAGTAAGCTCTTACAGCTTTATTCCTAAATGCTTCACATCATGCCTAGACATTGTAGGAACTGTAGATAGTGGGTACCTCGGTAGAATATCTGTTCCTTGCTGCATGAAAGCAGCCAGTGTGAACCAAAGGCAATTGTACACTGAAAAGTCGTTGGAAATTGTGAATCCGCCTCGAGCTGTCTCTTCAACCCTCCACTCGTAAGGTGAGAAGCGCGACACCAGAAAAATAACTACTGACACCTAAACAAAACCATTAATTCCTCAACATCTCCATGCAGAGAGGTGGTCAAACTCACACCAATATAGGCGAAAATGATGTACATCCAAATCTCAGTACTGAGCGGTTGCATGAATGAAAAGACTGAAAATTCTTGTTTGTCCGGTTTCTTGATCATGATGGAAATACCAGTGGTCATAAACGGCTTTGAGAAGTCCACCACTCGTTCGCGCTCCTTAACAAATTTTATTGAAAACCTGCGTGATATAAAATTTAGATTCTGAAATCAATCCATTCAGAGCACATCATCGTTGTGAAAGTCACAAAAAAGGGAGGGGGAGGTCGTATTCATTTGCTAGGGAAGGGGCCAACTTGAGGGGAACTATTCGATCGTTTGTTTTTTCGCTTGCGCGCTATACACAGTTAGTATCCCTGCAAACGAAATGGCCTGTGAGTGGGCGTAGATAAAAGGCAGCCACTGCGGCCTTTTCCACCAATAGATGCTATCATGAGGCTGCAACAACTGGTGGAAAAGGCACCCGTGACTGCACTTCCACCTACCCCCTCACACGCCCTCTCGCTCGCAGGGATGATAGCTCTACCTCCTCCTGCTCAACAGCAAATTTTTTGGCGTTGCGGTCAATAAGTTGTGTTTGTACCTAAGGAAGAAGTGGAAGGGATGTAATTTTGCAAGAATTTTCCAAAGCGCGTGACGTGCCCTGAGACTTCGGGTATGAGAGGAACGTTTTCTTGTGCAACTCCGTAATAACCGCAATGCAAGGCGCCCTTTACAAGGAAATCGGTTCACTCACCCGGACTTTCCTTCCCCCTACTTTTATTGTTGGTGAGAGTCCTTACCCTCATTATGAAAATGAAGCCTAGTCCATGCCCAAAAAAGGAATCCTTCCAATGCCTTTCCATCCAAAAGACGTTATCTTCTTTCCAGTTTTTGAGCAAATAGGTTGGTGCATAAGTTCTTAGCCCGTGTTTGATCCTTCCGTATTTCGTTTGCATGGATGTTGGTATATCGTCATCACGTGTGCGTGACGTGGGCACTATACTCTTTTATCACACTAGCTATCACTCACCCACCTTGCATTTGCAGGCCACAATGTCGCACAGCAATTACCACTGTGACAGAATGTACCTGCGCCACTGCCTGGTTTTGCTTAACGATTCACAAAAGAAGCTTCGCGTTCTCAACTCGATGATCACTGGAGATGAGAAGTGGGTCCTCTACGATAACCCTGTGAGGAAGCGGCAGTGGGTCGACAAAGGAGAACAGCCAGAAGCCACCCCGAAAGCCGACCTTCACACCAAAATGGTTCCCCTGTTCTGTTGGTGGTCCAGAAGAGGCATGGAGTATGGGAGCTGCTGGAGAAGGGACAGACGATTGACGCTTCCACATATACGTATCCATGGTTGCGGGAAATAAAAAGTCACTTCGACCGTACTCGTGGATCGAATGCGGAAATCTACTTCCACCATGACAACGCCCGACCTCACACTGCAAAGGCGACCCAGGCCGAGCTGGAGAAGTACGGATGGCTGATGGTCGCCCAGCCCCCTACAGCCCTGACATCGCTCCTTCTGACTACTGGCTGTTCAGCCACCTGCAGCGCTCTCTGGACGGAAAAAAAGTTCGAAACAAAGGATCAGGTCAGATAGGCCGCTGGCGTCGAGTAGTGGATGGTGATGGTGCATACCTCTAATCTTCAGGTTGGTTCGCTATTGAGATATTTACGAAAAAGTCGTGGCTAAGAACTTATGCACCAACCTAATATGAAGGCGACTCGCGCTCTTCAGGAAATAATTATTCACCTATCTCGAGGTTCTAGCTGCGAAGAGGCTAGTTAAGGTGGCTACTGAATATGTGCCTCCTCTGCTCCAGTGCTACTCATTCAAACGCACCTCTCAACACCTACTTCTTAACAAGTCGACTAACCTGGTTGATTGTAAGTGAGGCGACAGCGACATCAGCTTTTCCAGTGAGCAAATCACCCATCATACCGTCCCAGCATGCCGTCAGCGATAGTTTTCACCGGTTTTTCTTCACCCAGATAAACCTTCGAAGTTAAGGCCTTCAATACGATCGCCAGCAGTTTTCATACGGTCGATACAGTATCCTTCGTACTTGTTGTTGCCTTCGCACTCAGTTCGATTGTTTGGCTGCGCGCATTCGCGTTTTGTCATCACAAACGGCGCTACCTAAATCACAACTGACTTTGAATTTTCAACCTGTAGAGTAGTCCTTCTTAAACACTGCTCATAAACCTAAAGCTTCCACTAGGAACATGGCACCATTCGATGGTGTTTCGCACCCGTGTACGATTCAGAACTAATATCAAAACTTTGTAGGCAAACTGCACACTCTCCTTCGCGGACTCTGACCCCTGCCATGAGTGAGGTGAATGGGCCGCAGCTGTTAGTGTGTCTCATCCGCGGATCCAAGTGTACAGAAACAGGCTGTAAAGCAGCGTTCATACTTCGCGACAGCAGCGGCGATTGCGGCGACCTCGGCGATCGCCGCGATCGTCGGTACGTGGCAGAGCGCGCCCCAACGCTATTATGGACCGCTCGCTTGATAATTAAAGGAAAATCCAACTGTGAGACCTTTCTTTATCCGTTCAATAATGGCTACTACTGATAAACTTACGACTTTCTTGTACATAGCAGATCTGGAAATGAGGTAAGAAGGTTTCACTTCTTGCTTGAGTTCTTTGTTTCTTTTGTTTTTATTGTTCAATTTATGCAAGCGCCTTAAAATTCCTATCGTCTGAACTGTTCCAACTTCCAAAACATTTATAGTTCACAAGTCGAGTTCAAACAACGAAGAAAAAAAGACAGAAAGAAACTCACCTAGGAAACTCAAAGTAAACACTAATCATTTTTACGCAACATCAACAGGTGAAAACGTTATAACCTCATGTATAAGCTCGACGAATGAAAAAAGAAACAATAAAAACCTACCCTAAATAGAGCTTTCACGCTTTTTGCTCATTTCTATCCTGAATCAAGAAAGAAAATAGAAAACAAAAGCCATTAAGTTGGGTTCACCTTTTTTGTGTCAAACCAAGCTTCAGTATCTAAGAAAATTGCAGTTAAAGGAAAAAAGCATGAAATTGAGTCGCTTCTTCCCAAAAGCCTTCGGAGCGCAAGTAATAGCGTTGGGGCGCGCTCTGCCATGTACCGACGATCGCGGCGATCGCCGAGGTCGCCGAGGTCGCCGAGGTCGCCGCGATCGCCGCTGCTGTCGCGAAGTATGAACGCTGCCTAGGGTAGTGATATCCGAATACTCCGCCCGCGCTGCTGCACAGCCAGTCACGCGCCTAACCATAGCCAGACGCACTAACTGTCTGCACACTCCACTTCTAGTTGTTCTCTAGCACTGCGTCTGTTCAGGGAATAAAGTCATAGCTAATTTGGTGTATATAAGAGCTACCAGCCTAGTTAACGAGTAAGTTTAATTCCTCAGACATGGTCCTTTTCCACGTTCTAAGACTATCCTTCCACTGAGTAGCAACTAATCAACAGAGAGGTCAAGTGCGCTTACCCATACGGTAACGACTCGAACAACGTTCTGATTTCGATTCTCCATTATCTTTCTGGTGTGTTGAGCCACAGTGCGATCAGCGAAAAATCCCACACCTTGCCTCCATGCGAGAACCTGCAAAGTGAAAATTGAAATCGAAAAGTGAAAGCAGTCCTTCAGAAACCCTAGGAACTTGTTCCTACTGACTATGTATAGTTATTATTGGAATCACAGTATGGCATCGTTGAGTCAACGAGAGGTTCGGTACTTGCGGCAGTGAGTCGTAGTGTGTCCGCTGAGGGAGATCCGCATTAACTCGAAAGAAAGTAAGATTAAAAGTAGGGATTTTCACTGCTTCTAATGAAGCATTCTTATATTCCTCTCGACGATCTTGTCTCTGGGAAAGCGGAGACAAAAGGAGGTGCGAAGGAATGCGACCTTGGACTTTTACATAGCACGAAAGAGCAATGGAATGCA